ACCTTGAGAAGCTCTGTTTTTGACAATTAGAGTTAAGTTGTTCCAAATACAGAGAACTATATGGGCCCTTGCATTCACCATAATCTATAAAAATTCCTTGACTTTCTTATAATCAGGTAGCAAAAGGTACACATAATTATTAATAGGTAAAACTAAAGTAGCCATAATGCTTTCAAATAGATTTTATTTTGAAATAAAAATATTATATTAAAATTAATGCAATGGGAAAATGTGTTTTTTAACTCTAAAATATGGTAAAGCTCTTGCACATATTTATTTTGTGCCTTTATCACCACTATAATTAAATAATTATGTATATCAACTCTCTGAAAAGATTTCAACAGCCAAATGAATTAAGGCTCTAAGATCAGTAATATTCACATGTTTAGTTAGGAAAACCTAGCTGGAAAAATTATGTTCTGCTTTTTTTCAGTTGCCACATGTTAGTTTTAGTGAACATCCCCAGATTTTCATGTATCACATACTTAGCAGAAATCTCCAGTACCTTTCATGCTCCCACCTCAAAGAAACAAAACTTTGAGCTTTCACTATCTCACTGTGTAGCAAAGGCTCATATGCAATTAAAATAAATTAATTTATTAATTTTGATAATGTCTTTTTCCCTACTTTTTCCTCTATTTGCTCATATAGGTAAACACTGTCTTCTATATTAGATTACTTATCTCTGCTACCTAACACAATGTCTAACACCCAACAAGTATTTTTAAATAATTGTTCAGAAAATGAATAGAAATTTATTGAAAGTCTATTATTAAAGGTTCATATTGGAAACACAAAAGTTAATTAGATAAAACCCTTACCATCAAGATGCTCACAGACTATTGAAGGGACCAAAATACATTCAATTTCTCAAGCAACATGGTAAGCACTTTAATGTGAACAAAAGCCAATGAGAGGGGTGGAGATGTAGCTCAGTAGCAGAGTGACTGCATGGCATGTTTGAGGCTCTGAGTTAGATCTTCAGTATGGGAGAGGGAGAGCAGGTCAACGGATGATGCATAACTGAAAGGGCTAATTAAAGCTTCTAATAAATAAGGAAGTGTTAGGAGGCTTCAACAAGAAGATGATAAAGCCCAGTATATAGCACATTATTTCAAACTGTTGCTACTCATCTCAAGTATCTACAGGGGTTCTCGTAAGTCTTAAGGAAACAAAAAAATATTCTAACAAAATGTCAGACATATAAAGTATAACAGCTTGTGTAAAACAGGATGAACACTCTTCTAAGAGACTATTACTGGTGAAATTTAAACAAAGTATCACTTGAATGTTTATTGTAAGTCCTACTATAGAATTTCCCTTCAAATAAGGTAGCAAAAGAAGGGAACAAATTAGATTAGTGAGGCTAATAAAGTTTTAGAAGGATTTGCTATCTGTGAAATATGTCTATATTTCTTTCCATTGTATAAGTACTGAGAATAACTCATAATTTTCAGTAAGTTAAAAAAACAAAACACATGCGAGGTGTGGTGGCACATGCCTGTAATCCCAGCATTCAGGAGGCTGAGGCAGGAGGATCGCCATGAGTTCGAGGCCAGCCTGGGCTACATAAGTGAGTTTAAGGCCAGCCTGAACTACATAGTGAGACCCTGTCTCCAAAAAAACTTATATTACATATCTGAAAATAAATCCATTATATTAAAATATTTTTCACAAATAATTATAGTGGTAATATAGATCTTTAAATTGTCAAAGTAGACCTGAGAGATAAGAATAAAAGTAATAGGGCTGGGGATTTAGCTCAGCAGCACAGTACCTGCCTGGCAAGCACAAGGTCGAGAGTTCAATTCCCAGTACCGGAAAAACAAACAAACAAGAAATAAATAAATAAAAGTAATAAAAATGTTCCATTCTGGCCCAACATTGCCTAAATAAGAATAAATAATAGGATGCTTTGAAAATCTGAATGTTTTAGCTATTCTAAAGAGACTTAATTTGTTAAACATCAGGGAATTCCAGTTCACTTATATTCAAACTCTGAAAACTGTCAATATTATGGTGATTATCTTAAAACTACAATTATCCAAAGGATAAATTTTTTCCTTAGTAGTACCACAAGATGTCACTCTAAGCCTAACATCTAAATGTGCAGCATTTAGCAAATGGCTTATTTTTCTTGTTTTGTACATTAATAAACACTGACTGTCAACTTTCAAAGTGTCTTTATCTACTGCCAGGTACTAGTAAACGGGAAATCAAAACAAATAATACAGGGACTTTAGAAGTAAGGATGAAGAAAGTTAAATAGTTCATTATTCTATATGCTTATCATGGATCCTTCTATTTACCAAAAAAATGGATTTTACATTCTTTTACTTTCATCCTATAATATTTCCAAAATGAATATATATTACTTTTTTTTTTTTGGTCTTTTCTTCCAGTACCAGGAATCAAACTCACGACCTTGCACTTGCCAGGCAGGTGCTTTGCCACTGAGCTAAATCCCCAGCCCCTATATTACTTTTATAATTAAAGAAAGTTATATAATAAAAAATTGAAAAGATACAATACCTTTGCTATAACCCTCCATGTTATCACAGAACTCTTTTTTTCAAATGCTTTTACACACTATTATACTGACCACAGTTATACAGACATGATTCTAGTTTCTAGTCCTCAACAATTATATTATCTAAGAATATAATTGTTTATGCATATGATTGACTACAAAAAGAAAATAGCATTTATTTTCAGAGTGATTATTTTCATCTGTAGAGGGAGGTTTTGTTTCTCAGGTCATGTGTAAATACTGTGCACATTCCGGAGTAAAGAGTATTTCACTTTACTATCAGTTTGTATTGATTTGTCTGAATTATTAATGCCTATTTACGTAGCTAGTTGAGATTCTTGCAAGGTATTATTTCAATGTACTGGTTATTTGAAGATGAGAAAAAATGGGTGAAGCCATGGTTTTCATTACTTAAAACAAAAAAGAAGGGAAGAGCAAGGGATAGTTGGTTGAAACAGAAAGCAAACTATGAACCCTAACAATGCTCAAATTTATCAATAGCTCCCTATCTATGTGTTTATAAATACATAAATCTTATTCAAGATATACATGTCTACACGACTTTTATTTGGAGCCTTAAAGAAAATACAGAATGAGAGCACTAAAACATTCAAAAATAATGTTAGTAATCAGGATTTAGTTACCCACATAAAATTCAATAGAAAATTAAGTTTTGATGTATAATGCTCCATTCTTTGCACTCTGGTTTATCTCCAAATGACTTTAAAAGGCCAGCTAAAACAAATCTATCCATTCAAATCTGGGCATTGGGATTACTTACATAATAGCTTTTACAGATTATTATTGTCTCTCATTTTACTAGAGAAATTCAAACCACACCATAAGCTTCAAGCCAAGATATTTATCATTCATTAAAATAATGGCAAAATGCAATTCTTTGTCAATGCATTTGTCTTTTTATTCCCCAGGTAATGGTGTTATCAAATGACATTATCAAAATATAGTAGAATTATCTAAATCATCCAGTAATACTCTTCCTAAATCAAGTTCTCAAAAGCTCAAGTTCTCTCAAAATTGAGCCAGTCCTAACTAAACACATCATACAAATCTATTTAGATACATTGCCATTTAGTTAATGGCATTTAGTATTTATCACTTAGAAGACACTATTCATTTTTAATTGAGAAATCTGTGGTTTGAAAATATTCTCTAAAATACTATTCTCTAACAATGTTTATTTAAATTCTATAACATTCTATTCAGAGTTGTTTTCACTGAACACTAGCTGTGATTAGTTATTCGTGTCATTAAGACTTATGAACCAAAATAGAATGTTTTAAAGAAATTAACCCACAAGCCCTAAGCAGGGTCAGGCCTGGTTAGTACTTGGATGGGAGAAATTAACCCACAAGTAAAATAATCTTATACAACAACTTTTTATTGCTATTTATTATCAATAAACTGCTTTTTGATTTTTCAAAATTTTATGGATTTTTAAAGTTATATTCAAATCATAAAGTTAAGGTTTGTATCAATAACTACATTTATAATAAAAACAGGTGAAACATTTCCAAAATGAAGTTCCATAAACTCCTATCTTTATATTATATATTAATAACTATCAGCTTGTAAAAGCAATAAAAATGTCTAGTAGACTCAGTTATTTCTTTAAAATGTACAGTGTTAAAGTCCTAGGTTTGAAAAAAAAAAAAAAAAAAATAAAGTCCTAGGTTTGATTCTCAGCAGCACAAAACTAATTAACTAATGAATACTTAGTTAATTAATTAAAATATATTGTGTTCAGTGGAGTTGTTTTTATTGTTTAGATAGTCAGCAATGTTTGTTGGGGGAAAAATTTACTGATATCTTTTGCTAGCTTTTTGTCACAAAATATTTAGAGGAATTAATAGCCATTTGCATAAATGCAAAAATATATAGAGAGCTAAAGATAAATGAATCTCTATTTTCTTCATAATCGTTAATAGGAGACTACATATAAAGTTAAACATTACTTGGTTAGATTCATGACAAATTGATAAGAATCCCAAAACATTGAATTTCCATCAGTTAATTTTTCAATGCTGGATCATAAGCTCTCCTAAGAAAGAAAGATGAAAACATTATTTGTTTCTACTTTTGAACCAAAAGCAAAAGTTTGATTCTGATTCAAATATAACCTAACATTTTTGTGTTACACAATTCCTTCTAAAGGAAGCAACTTCTTTAGTGAATCTGACCTCAACTTTTTGCAAAAACTACTCAGTGTTTTTAAATGTATAAATTTTTCTTCCTATATATTCTTTCAATGTTAACATTTTTCAAAAATCTAGCTCTATCTCTTTTATAACACTTCTTAGGTAAACATTAAATAGGAAAAAATTCCTTCTAGTGTCAAGGAAAATTATCACAGTTTGAAATTTCATTAACATCAAGTTCTTTGACCATATCATCCAAACTATTCAGCATAAGTCTAACCATTAAGAAGAGAGGTAATTTTTATAATACATACCTAACAAGGCTTGGAATAAGCTGCTCTTAAAGATACTCATGACCTTTTTAACAGCATTTTTCAACAGCTGTTCTTCTGGTGTTCTTAATTTTTTGCAATATTCTTCTAGCAATGATAAAGCACGGTCAGTATCTGAAAAACATAATTTAAAAATTCTATCATATGGTCTCAGAAAAATAATAAGCTAACAATAATTTACTTCATAGCTGTGTTCTTAATTTCATGACACAAAATAATTATAAATTCCATAATCTGTCATATAAAATTGATAATACTCTTATCAAATTCAAGAATCTACTTTTATTTTCTGTAGTTTTTCTGTCATTTTGAGAAAGGGTCATGCTATGCAATTCAGGCTGGCCTTGAACTCACTTTGTAGTACAGGATGGTCTCAAACTTACAACAATCCTCGTGCCTCAGCCTCCTGAGTGCTGGGATTACAGGCATGGGTCACCATGCCCAGCATGTATTTTCTGTAGTTCTGACATCTTAAAGAATCTACAAATGTGAAACAAAACAAAACAAAGAATACAATGTCCCCTGCCCTGCCCCACCAGCAGAGGAGCCACACTGAGCCCTGAACAGCTAAGGGAACCTCAGTGAACATGCCCCACACCCACCACACCTTTGTGGGAGCCACACTGAGCCCTGGACAGCTTCAGGAGCCTCAGTGAGCCTACCCCCACACCTTCACACCATTGTGGGAGCCATGCTGAGCCCCAGGGATCCTCAGGATCTATGAAAATGACAAAATGAAACAGGAAAATGCAATCTCAGAACTCCACCCCATCCAGAACAAGTCCAGGAGACATAGATATGGAACAGTTTGGAAGTCAGATACCTGAAATTTCTGAAACGATAGCAACTGAAGCAAAGAAACAATTCCATCAGGCCATGGAAGACATCAGATCAGAAATAATCTCTCAGGTAAAAAAAGAAATGAGAACAATAATGAAAGAATTACTCACTATATGTAAAGAAGATACAGATTTAAAAATAGAGGAACATAGAAAAATGATGGAAATCTTGAATGAACAATATAGGAAAGAATTAGAATGCATGAAACACATTCAAAGAGATATCCAGGAAATTAAAAATTCCATCAAAAGCTGGCAAAACTGCTTGAACGAAGCTGAAGATAGATTTTCAGACCATGAAGACAGCATTGCAGCTCATAATTGAGAAGGGAAAGATCTCTTAAAAATAATAAGCAACCAGGAAATAATTCAACAGCTGCAAGATGATGAAATGAAAAACAATACAAGACTAACGGGTGTCACGGAAACAGCAGGAGTCAACACAAATGGCACAAAAAGACTATTTGCAGAAGTAATAGCAGAAAAGTTCCCAGGAATGGAAAAAGAATCTGACATAGTTAAGTAAGGCACATAGAACCCAGATTAGGCATAACCAAAATAAATCTACACCCAGACTTATAATAATCAGGATCCCAGAAATTCAGCAAAAAAACCAGAATATTAAAAGCTGTTGGAGAAAAGAAAACAGATCAACTATAAAGGAAAGGCCATCAGAATCATGGCAGATTTCTCAAGCCATCAAATCAAGAAGAGCTTGGAGTGAAGTACTTCAGGTCTAAAAAGAAAACAACTTCCAACCCAGATTGATGTACCCTGATAAATTAGCCTGCAAAATTAATGGAGAATTATTTCCACAACAAAGAACAACTGAAGACATTCATGAGCACCAAACCAACCCTACAAAGAGTACTAAATGATATTCTAGAAAGAGATAAAAATGACCACAATTTCAAGAACAACAATACAAAGGAACCACTAAGCACAGCAAGCAATTAAAGAGGGAAAAAGTAAGAAACCAACATCAGGAAAATAACACACCAAAGATAAGCCAATACATATCAGTTATCACCATGAAAATAGCCTTAATTCACCAATCAAAAGAAGCAGACTGGCACAGTGGATCAAGAAACAAAATCCAACAATATGCTGTATACAAGAAACATATAACTCAAAAGGAAATTCATAGACTGAAAGTCAATAGGTAGAAAACAATACTCCATGCAAAAGGAACTCAGAAAAAAGCAGGGGCACCCATTCTGTTTGCAGACAATGTGAACTTCAAACCAAGAATGATCAAAAGAGATAAAGAAGGTCATTACATACTTGTTAGAGAAAAGCTGCAAGAGGAAGAGCTAACATTCATAAATATCTATGCACCAAATACAGGAGGACCCAACTATATAAGACAAATTTTAACAGACAAGAAAAATCAAATAAGTACTAATACAATCAAAACAGGAGACTTTAACACCCCATTGTCACAAAGAGATAGATCAACTAGACAAAAATATCAGCAAAGAAATAACAGAACTAAATGAAACTCATGGCAAGTAAGGCTGAAAACTTAGGTTGAAAATTGCTCATGTGAGGGAAAATTCAAAGGTCATATTCAGGAATGTGGACATTATTTTGCAGGAAGTCATCAATTTTTTCCATTTTTTCCTTGACCAAATAGAATCATACCCATTACGTAAACATCTGTGGCACTGTATGCCTTTTCCATTAAAAAAAACAAAAACAAAATAATAACAACAAAGACAAAAACAAAACAATACAAAAACAATAGAAATGATACAGGATTTCAAAACTAGATGATAGGAATTAACAATGGCTGTTATATTACATATTGTTATCTTCAAAAAGTTGCTCAGATTACCAGATGTAAGAATGCAATTGATCAAACAAGGAAAATAAAAAATAATAAATAAAAACATTAGAAACAATATGGAGCTTTGCTAAACAAGATGGTAAGAATTCAAGAATGGTTGTTATATTGCATATTGTTGTCTTCAAACTAGTTGTTCAGATTACCAGATATAAGCATGCAAGATTGCTCAAGAAAAGTCAGTCATTTAAGCATTGACTGTTCCTTTCAATAAACCAATAGAGGGGCTGAGGATTTAGCTCAGCGGCAAAAGCGCCTGCCTGGCAAGTGCAAGGTCGTGAGTTCAGTTCCCGGTACCGGAGAAAAACCAAAAAATAAAAATAAAAATAAAAAAATAAACCAATAGACATCAGCCATACAATTATCCCAGCTATCCTTGTATACACGTATATATTTTTCCTTTCCTTCTTTCTTTTCTCCTTTCCCTCATCCGAGTTATTCCTTCCCTTTGAGCAACTTCTTTCCCTTTCACAGTATCTATTATACCTTTTGGTACAATTAGGGAGACAGTTTCCTCACAGATTTTAGAATCAAATAAAAACAATGTATGCACAATGCTTATCTTAGCACAATGTCTAAATTAATAAATCAACTGAAAACCTACATTCCCTTTGAACTACATTCCAAGTCAAAGTTAATCACTATAATTAACCCTTCCTCAAAAACAGTTTGTGCACACAAATATTATAGGCATTCTTAAAATATACTATGTTGTACTAAGACTTGTTGAATAGATGTCTTCATTCCTCACAAAATGAAATATCCTTAAAAAAGATCACCAGTCACACTGTCTTTGCATGTAGTTGTTGATAATTGTCTTGAAACTTTAGAAACCCTCTTTCTCCAAGCTGCCATCTTCAAAAATAGAATAAACTACAATAACAATAGTTATATATATTGACTTTATATCTATATGTATTTATTTCTCATGAACTTTCTGATTTTTCTTTCCTATAGCCCTTTTTTTTTTTATTTTTAATCTTTTGTCTTTTTGAGACAGGGTCTCACTATGCAGTTCAGGCTGGCCTTGAGCTCACTTTGTAGCCCAGGTTGGTCTTGAACTCACATATCCTCCTGCTGCAGCCTCCCGAGTCCTGGGATTACAGGCATGCACCACCATTCCCAGCCTCCTATAAACCTATTATTGGAGCTTAGATAGGATACCAAACACAGAACTTTGCCCTAGAACTTACTGCTGAGTTAGTGACTAACATGGGTAGGGCTACCTGTGGATGAAACCTCTGGAACAGATCCACTGCCAGGGGAAGACGTAACTGCAACCCAAGTCTATGGGACTCTTATTCCAGACAGCATCACACATAACTCGTTGCAGCAGTCTTGGGCCATGAGTTCACCACAGCAAAAGGCAATCCACTAAAATATGAGCCTTGGTCTCATCAAAGATTTGGGCTGGTCTTAGTGGACTGTGGACTCAGGATGGGACATGGCTGGATAACACTGGTGGCCATAGGTGTGACATAAACATTTTGAGCTGGTCCATCCATACTGCTCTGCCCAGAATACCGCAATACCTGACCACAAGCAGATATTAGCAGATGAGGCATCTGAGCCCATCCTAGCCTCAGGAAGAGACTTGTGGGGACAAACTACTCTTTAAATGTTTTCAATGTACTCTCCTATTTCTTTCTGAACAAGACATCAATAGTATATTTGAGACAAACCTGAACTTGTCTTGCTCTCTAGAACTGAAACAATAAAAATATAGCAATAGCAACCCCTGCAAAACTGGACCTAAGTACCATCCAGTGCTGAAACAATGGAAGAGACTACAGGTTCAGAAAATATAAGTAGATTTCTTAGAAAGCACAAACAAAGACTGGAATAAATACAGTACCTAATCTATCAATGCCCAAACAATGTTACATACCAACAAGCATGTTTTTGTCTAGAGCTTATTTTTGCAAGGGAGAACAATATAATACCAGACACACATTTTATAAGATTATTTACACTAGTCACCCAAAGAATGATATAAAAAAGAGTGCGTGAAATCTGTACACTCACTGAGACCAAGGAATCCAGCTAATGGCTGGGATCCCACAGAAATGCTCTGCTGGAGTCCAGCCGAAGACCTAGAGCTCATAACAATGCCTCCCACGAATCCAACTGGAGACCTAGATCCCAGGACAATGTCTCATGCAGCCCTGTTTCACGGATCTGTGCTGCAACAGCCCAAAGGTCAGTGGTGGAATCTAGGAAGTCTGTGCCAGTGGGATGAAGGATCTGTGCTAACAGGCTGAGGGA